GATTAGATGGCAAGCAGAATACAGGGTCATAATAAATAATGAATAATATATATAAAAAATACAATACGTTGATCTTAGGCATAGAATTAAGCGTAACAAATTGTTCTCGTAAGGCATCACGTTGAGCGACATTGCGAGAGAAAAAACAAAACTTTCTATATAGTGACATTAAAAAGGCAAATAAGAGGACAAGGGAATAAAATTAACTAAGGTAGGTAATTAATGTGACAGAATACGGTGGATATTAGAAGCACATATTTTACATTTTAGCTTATAAAAATCCCATAAACTAAAAGCAATGTATAAAATGACGAAATAAAAGCCAAGAAGACTAACTCACTGGAACTTTTTCGCAAGACCAAAGTCAACGAGAAAGACCTTGTTGCAATGCCGACCAATTCCCATGAGAAAATTGTCTGGCTTTATATCACGATGCAAAAAACACCGTGAGTGCAAGACATCAAGACGTGTAATCATCTGATCAGCTAGCATTAACACGGTCTTCATGGTAAACCTTCTACCACAAAAAGTAAAGAGATCCTCTAAGCTCGGACCAAGTAAATCCATCACAAGGACATTGTAGTAATTATTGACATTATCTAAGCCGAAGTACCGAATACGTGCGACACCAGGAGCTCCCTGCAGGAGCCGATAAACCTTACTCTCAAAATATAATTGGGGGTGCCTTGAATTTGTTCGCTCTAGTTTGATAGCCACCTCTTCTCCCGTAAAAATATTTACTCCTAAGAGTATTTCGCCAAATGATCCTGAACCGATTTTTCGAGTAAGCCTCCATTTTTCAGCTACAACGCAATTTCTCATAGAGTACATTTTGAGGTCTGGCCCGGAGTCCTAAGAAATGAAGAAGTAGACAACGTAAGCATGTTATTATACGTAGCGAAGACAATATAAATATCCAAAAACAACAAAACCTGACCATTTAAAAGGATATACGAAGCCAGGAATGAGATGAGAGGAAATAGGGGGACAGGGAACTTCCTGACCGAAAGCCGTCGCCCAAGCCAGAAAAAAGTAAAACAATAATAAATAGAGTAATAAATTATTTATTAATGTTATTTTCGAAATATTTTACAACACAGTTAATAATATTTTTATGGTTACATGGCGCGCTGGTTGAAGCTTACCCTAATGAGTGCGCTTGGCTTTCGGCATGCCTGTCAGGCGGGGGCATATCGCGCCGCAAAATACCTATATAGATACACTTATTCGGAAGTTCGATGGACAGCGTAATTAAAAAATATTATTTAAATATTTATAGAGGCTCGATTTATTATTGCAAATGCTGTCAAACCTAATAAGCCCATAATATATTGCAGCGATGGATTTTGTGAATTATTCGGATTTACAAGGGGTCAACTGCTAATAAAATCCGCATTATTATACATCCTACATGGAGAGCTTACTTCTAGAGCGTCTATAAAAGCTCTACACAATGCTCTATGCAATGATGTTGAATCAGAATTAAATATTAGATTGTACAGGAAAGATGGTGCGAAACTTGAACTTTTAAAAATTCTTTAGATGCGTCAATTTATTGTCATCTTGTTGTTGCTCCTGTAAGAGATGAAACTGGCCATATACCTCTGCAGATTATATTTTGCAGGGGTGAAGAAAATGCATTTATGAGCTACAAACTTAGGACAGGACTCAACAAACGTACTTATACTTCATTTTTATATATAAAGAATCTCGCTCTATTTTCAACTTTTTTGGGCTGTTTAAATCTGTCAAGACTGCTTCTAAAGGAGACTCTTGGGATAAATCAAGTATGTCTCGCCACTTATTCTCTATATTTTTGACCCGATTATTTAAAGCCTTACTATGATATAATTTTTAGGTGGAAATTTAAGTTTCGCTTTTATTTAATATATAGTCACGGTTTTTATTGCTGCTTTTAGTTGTTTATACTCATGATCACCGAGTTCAGAATGAAAATGAATCCAAATCCAAATGCGATATGCTTACTGATGAAGAAAAAGGAGAGGAGCCTATTTTTCGACCAGAACGAAACAAAACAAAAATTTTTAAGGGAGACACTCATACAACTTCATTCTCTGGTTTCCCAGGTACCTTTTTCACTTTTTTTTCTATTTCTTATCCTGTCAATTTTTAACAAATTTGCATGCTTAAATTAAAGCTATCATCAATACATACCATCAATTTTTGTCTCTATCCGTTGATATCCAAATAAAATACTATCTGAATGTTTCTCTCCTTCATCATATTGATCGACTTGTGCAAAGTCCAAAAGTACTTGTTTTATTTAGATGACGTAACTTCGAGTTTCTTTGTTTAAATCTTTATCAAATTATCCGGAGAATATTTTATATTTATCCTTATCATTTAATACATATTTTCAATAAATATTAATTCATATAGACTGA